AACATCTGCTAAAGGAGTCACGAAGCGATTGCGTTCACCCTCATCATTCATAGGCATTCGTGCTTATAATGTATACGAATTTGCAAAGATGCTGAAATAGTAAACCGAGCACTTTTTCAGGATTCGGTTGCCTTTTACTTTCAACTTTGAGACTAATTTGTAAATGTCGAGCCTACCCAAAACCTAAATTTGAAAAGCAGTGCATAAACCAACTGATTAAATTGTTATTTAGAATCCCTAGAGACAGTATCGTATTATCATTTGGCCTAGCTCAAGAAGTAACATTTGAAGAAGAGCTTCAAAAAATTACAACGAATTGCTGTTCTATCTTCGGCTACGACATAGTAAGTGGAAGGCGAATGATGTTAGAAAAATATAATATGAAGTTTTAGAGAGGAGATAGAAGAAAAGTAAAGTTTCTTTATTCGCAAATACCTCGCACACATTTGAGGAAGGCTTATGTTGATAGCTTCAATTGGAAGAATACCTACACAGTGGAAAGGCTTTTGAACCTGGACAACATCACAACAGTGGAAATTATGAAAATGGACATTGAATGTAAGGAAGTATCTAAAATTCTCTCATACAAAAAGTTTTTTTCAGCCAACGAGTATGAGGTGCTTCCACAGTTCCTCAACATGTATCGTCCAGCACAGGTTTGCTTACTAACTCATTTACGGACGAGGTGTACTGTTATAAGATCATCTTAAAACAGAAACCTATAAAATCTCAAGTTCAAAACGGCGAAGCTCATACTTGAAAAATAAAATCGCGAATTACGGCGAGGCTCCTGCACATAAACTTCTGGATTGGAATTGGTTCGAAATCATCATGTTAAATGTGTTTTCATGACATCAGCTAACCAGCAGCTTCATAATATCTTTTCAAGGACAATCGGAAAGCTTGAAATGCACAACTTGCAAAGCAAAGTCATTAGAGGAGATCGGATCTCCAATCATTCTCAGCTTGTCCGCAACCATTGACTTTACCAGAAATTATTATTCTTTGTGCAGCTTTTTATTTTACAATAATGCTTATTCCTTCATGAGCAGCATTAAACTTTCTTATGATAGACTATCGAATGAATTTCTTGCAGATAGTTGAGATCTCCTTATTTGGTACAGCTTATCTTAGCGATAAGTCATCAGGATAATGATGCGCCCATGCGAACATTGAAAATGTTCGCGGTGATCCGTGTGAGGACTTTTCAAGGCACAGGGCGCTTCAGATCTCGCTTCACTGAAAGGGAGCAGTTATGGCTCACAATTATTTTATCGAAACTATCGTGTGACATAGGAGATCCTAGCTATCTCTAAAAAGCAGCAGATAGGATACGCTATGTTCCTCAGGATTGGTAACTCTTTGCGGCTTTTTGAACAAAGTTTATTCCGGTGGCGATAGGTTTGTGATATCTTGCGACGAACTTTTACCAGCTGCCAAAAACCATTTCCAATGTGGTGCACAGGGTGGTTATGAAGCTAAGCCATGAACTAGTGCCGCAGTTCATCGTTTGTAAGCCATGTGATATGGCTTGGTGCAGGAATAAGGTCAGCGAGTTCGCCAGGCACGGATTCAGCAGTGACTGAAGCTTTTCGGGACTTACATGGGAAATATAGACTATCAAGATGTAATTATGCATCGGCTGAACTATAGTGCCACTCGATAGTCTCCTGCAAGATGGCTACTGTATATGTGCAAAAAGAGGTCCACAGCCATGCTTTGAAAAAGTACTTAGAAGTAGTTCTCAATATTGCTGTGCCGTATAGATTTGATATGGTGGTATCTTTATTTGACTGACCCTTTGACTGGCCCGCCAATGCAAGACTCCTGAGAAAGAACATGTTTAGTTAATTGTGAAAGAATGTTCCCAGCTGGAATCTGTAAACTTTTTGTTAGTGATGATTAGCGAATAGAACTTATTTAGATTACGCTGGAGATCCACGGCATTTCCATGCAAACAGTCAAACTCCTACAAAGGATTTCACTTTGTGGTTATTGGTTGATTTCTTATGAAATCAATGGAGGGTTTCATGATGCGTGCGAGTACTCTTTTATTCATGAATCTGCATTCAACAAATACCACGCCTTCCCTTTGGCTAGGTATTTGGACTAACTTTAGGTGCACTGAAGTGGAATCAAAGGATGCTTAGTTGAAGCATACGTAATACTTTATATTTTAGCTCACGGTGTCTTTCACTTTTTTTAATAGTCTTTATGAACCAAGCCATTTTCGTAAAATAAATATTGTGTGACAATAATGTGACAGTGATGTTGAACTCGCATAACACTGCAAGTAGGCCTGCGGTGAAACCCCACTACCCTCAGCTCGATTAAACTGAGCTGACCCTTTGTTAAAACATCGTAAGTTAAACTTAGACCGCCTTCTCATGCCTCAGAATGGCAAGTTGAACAGTCAGGAGACCGTCCGGTTGAGTGGCAAAATAAGTTTAACGTACTGCTTGTAGGCGAGGCAGGCTTAAATTAAAGACCAAAAAAGTGGAAGGAAGAAGAGAATTGACGAAAACTCCGTAAGCTCGTGAGTGACTTATTGTACACTTAGGCTCACCTTCTTGGCGAAACAGGAACCTGCAGAAATACACTATACCAGGCCGAAGAGAATGAGATCGATGAGCAGTTGATCGCAGCCAAGAAAAGAGAACCTAAAAGTGGTTTCCTTCTCCCGTTTTCAGAATTCCCTTCTCGATTCATGGTAAACGCGCTTATTACTATTAATGGCACGACGGACGGTCGCATTTAACTTCAGCGGCAGTGGCGGAGGAGGCCTCTGAAGAAGATGAACAAGTCGAAACGTCAGGCCGCCACTAACAATAAAGGACTACTAACCTCGGTCGTCTTACTAACATACTAACATTCACACTAACAATCATACTAACGATGCCGAAGTTCACGAAAGAGGGAACTTGGAAGCTGGGGTGAGAGTTACTCTTCTATTTGCTGTTTGTTGGCCACAATATTTTAATAATTAAATACTAAGTTGACGTCTTTGACTTCCAACGGTGTAACATATGTGCTCCTAGCCGGTCTTGAACCATGCCCATGCACGTTAAAATTTCATCTACCCTGACCCAACCTGCTTAAGTACTTCTTCTTTTCAAGAACAGACACTATACGTCTAGAAAGCAATCCGGATTTGATAGTTCACTTGATGCAGGACTGAGGCGTTGTACGTTCAACATAGGCCCGTAACAGCTGAGGTGCGCTGAAAGGCTTATCAGGGGCTCTTTGTGTCAAAAATCCCAGTGAAAGATCCTTCTAAGGAGTTAAACGTAGGTTGCAGCAGCAAGGAAATAAAATCTGCTTCATTCGAAGAAAGCAAAATGATCGCGCATGCATTGACAAAAGCACACAATTGCAGCTTAAAGGCAGCGTCCGGACAAAAAACGATCGATTAAATTTTCTGCTTACTTGAGCCT